CTGATTTTTTTATTTATTGTAGAGATGAGGTCTTGCTGCCCAGGCGGGTCTCAAACCCGTGGGCTCAGGCAATCCACTCACCCAACTAATTTTTTATGACTTTTTTTGTAGAGATGAGGTCTGGCTATGTTGTCTAGGCTGGTTTTAGCTAATTAAAAAAAAAATGTTTTTTTGGTACCAGTGGGGTCTCACTCTGTTTCCCGGCCTGGTCTTGAACCCCTGGCCTCAAACTACCTTCCCAGCTTGACCTCCCAAAGCGGAGGAATTACAGGCATGTACCATGGGGCCAGCACAGCTATATGTGTTCTTTGTATATGTTAGATACTGTGACCCATATCTGATATATGACTAACAAATATTTTCTCTCATTTTTGTGGGTTGCCTTTTCTCTTTCTTTTTATTTATTTATTTATTTTTGAGTTGGAGTCTCACTCTGTCGCCCAGACTGGAGTGCAGTGGCCGCTCCCAGCCACCACAGCCTCGACCTGCTGGGCTCCGGCAATCCTTCCGCCTCAGCCTTCCATGTAGCTGGAATTACAGGCATGCGCTACCACGCCCGGCTGATTTTTTTATTTATTGTAGAGATGAGGTTTCGCTGCCCAGGCGGGTCTCGAACCCGCGGGCTCAGGCAATCCACTCACTTCAGCCTCCCAAAGGTGCAGGATTACAGGCTGAGCCACCGAGCCCGGCTCCACATACATTTTAGACTGCAAATTCATCACGATGCAAGAGCTCCCCCCTTTTTTCCTGAGGTCCCAGACCAAGAGCCATCACCTTCTATCTTTGACTTCCTCAGCCTGGAGCCACCTGGCCTCTTGTCTCACATGACAGGGGACACATATCACTCTCCTGAGAGGTTTCTTTGAGGCTGCTCTTTGAAATGATGGTGAAGCCAGGCTCAGTGGCTCAGCCTGTAATCCCCGCACTTTGGGAGGCCGAGACTAGTGGATTGTCTGAGCCTGCGGGTTCGAGACCCACCCAGGCAACTTGGCAAGACCTCGTCTCTACAATAAATCAAAAGTTAGCTGGACGTGGTAGCATGCGCCTTTAGTTCCAGCTACTTGGAAGGCTGAGGTGGAAGGATCGCTGGAGCCCAGTAGGTCGAGCCCGCAGTGGCCGGGAACATGCCACTGCACTCCAGTCTGGGAGACAGACTGAGACTCCAATTCAAAAAACAAAAAAGATAGTGAGAAGGTGCCATCATGCCCCGCAGGGGGCAGCGGCTCTCACCAGGAAACCCCTTCCTCGAGTCCATTCCTGGGAAACCCAAGAGGATGTCACTAGCCTGTTCAGTGCGCTCAGCATGGGTTGTGTTCTTGACCACTCATTGTCAACATCTTCAGCTTGGTTCGTCTCAAAATTTGCTTTGTGTCCAATATTGATCATGTTAGGGTCCGGATAGGGTGAAGGTGGGTGGGTGGAGAGGAGAGGAGAGGGGCAGGGAGGCGCAGCACCACCAGAGCCGGTGTGCTGGAGATGCCGCGCTGACAACCCAGAGATCTGAGTAAATGCAAAGAATTGCAACACATAGAGGTGAGAGAAGAAAATATTTGTTTACGAAAAGTTTGCCCCCCACAGAGAGGGAGTGGGCCTACACTCTAAGTGAGTGTGGCATCGTAGCCCCCCAAAACCCTGGCTTAAATCCTTTTCCTTGGAGATGTTGCAATCAGGTAGACGTCACTGCCATGACTTCCTTATCTACCACCTGTGGATGTCTTGGAGAGCTTGTGACACAGAGACCCACTAATGTCCACCTACATTATCATAGCCCCTAGAGAAGGGTGTGACAGGGATTCTAATTCTCCTGCACCTTCCAGAATGATATTCCTTAGACCTAATGGAGGGTGCACCTCCCCTTATCTCCTAGGCATTCCCAGTGGGTAGCTTCGGGGGATCCTTGGATAGATGGTACCCAAATTCCTGGAAGATCGAATCCCCACCTGCTCCCCCTCTGAGTGGTCATAACTTTTTGTAATGACAAGTTTCGTGACTTTTACAATCCTTGCCCAATGCATGATGTCTTAGACCTTGTAAACTCCCTTTACTCTAGGCAAGCTTGATTGCTTCTATGAGATACCTCTGATACCTGGCACCAAGAAGTCTGTTTCTGAAAAGACAGTCAGTAAATTTTACCTAAAGTGTGCATTTCTCCAAGAGCACAACTTCTACTTTCTCATCATTGTATTAAGGTTTAGGAACGAGATGAAAAATGGCTTTCGGTTCTCGGTCTGTCCTTTCAGATTGTATCTTGGTGTGTTACTCTAAACTCCCAATTTGCCATTTTGTGACACATTTTAAGTGGAAATGTAAATAATTTCATCCAGAATTTTTTTTTTTTTTTTGAGTTGGAGTCTCACTCCGTCACCCAGACTGGAGTGCAGTGGCTGCTCCCAGCCACCGCAGCCTCGACCCACTGGGCTCTGGCGATCCTTCCGCCTCAGCCTTCCAAGTAGCTGGAACTACAGGGACACGCCACCACGCCTGGCCAATTTTTTAATTTATTGTAGAGATTAGGTCTCGCCAAGTTGCCCAGGCGGGTCTCGAACCCGCGGGCTCAGGCAATTCACTCACCTTGGCCTCCCAAGGCGCAGGCTGAGCCACTGAGCCCGGCCTCATCCAGAATTCTTAGTTGCTTTGTAGAGGGAGAGATGTCCAGGGAATTGAGTCTGCCATACTACCAGAAACAGAAGTTTGCAGCTATTTTCTTACCCATTATTGCTGCTAAACTCTTCCTGTCACCACTATAGTCACAGGTGGCTTGTGTGGATTGTACAAATTGCTTCTCCACAGTGAAATCTCATCACAGAACACAGATCGAAACTATCCGATTTGAGGGAGGCAGAAGAAATAGGCTGATACTCGGCCTTTTCAATAGACCAGGAAGAAGAAAAGTGCTGAAAGCCCAGTAAGACCTGACAATTTCCAAGTCCTTTTCAACACTTAAATGGACCTTTTGAGAGCACAAAACCCACCTCCCAACTGGGGAATGTTATACAGCAGCATTTGAACGGGAGATGAACAGTCTTAACCACATGCTGGTTCTGAGACTGTTTCCTGCAGAATGACTACATAAATTCAGGTGAGTGCTTGTAAAACACACAATTACACACCCACAGTGTGGGCTGAGGGTATGTAGACAGGCAGTAAGCACACAGTTTCTCAGAGTTATATATGGCTATAAAAGAAATAGGATCTCCCTGGCTTTTATTTTATTTTATTTTAAGGAAAAGGCCAATGTTTATGCTTAAATGTCTTTATAATTTGAGGTACATTTTTATTACAATAAATTAATACATAACTGATGCAAGTATATACCTATGTACCTTGGTTTGGGGTTATTTTTTTTTTTTAATCATTTTGTAGCACAAACCCAAGGGAAAAATTTTTGAAATGGTAATTTGCTTGAGTTTTAAAAACCTGATGAAGGGGATGGTAATTAATAACAACAGAAATGTAGTAATGGTAAAGGTGGAGAAAATATGAGTTAGTCAGTACATGGTGTTGGGACAATTGACCGCCATTTGAAAGAGTGTATCCTCGTGGTAGCGTGCCCCTGTAGTTCCAGCTACTTGGAAGGCTGAGGTAGAAGGATCGCCGGAGCCCAGCAGGTCGAGGTTGCGGTGGCCGGGAGCGTGCCACTGCACTCTAGTCTGGGTGACAGGGTGAGACTCCAACTCAAAAAAAGAGAAAGAGTGTATCCTTACCCTACTCTATTTTTTTTAGTTGGAGTCTCATTCTGTCATGCAGGCTTGAATGCAGTGGCATGATCATGGCTACCACAGCCTCGACCTGCTGGGCTCAGGCGATCCTTCTGCCTCAGCCTTCCAAGTAGCTGGAACTACAGGCACATACCACTACGCCTATATAAGTTTTTTGATTTATTGTAGAGATTAGGTCTCTCCAAGTTGCCCAGGATGGTCTTGAACCTCTAGGCTCAGGCAGTCCTCTTGTCTCACTCTCCCAAAGTGCTGGGATTATAGGCATGAGCCACTGTACCCAGCCTTACTCTACCCTTTATGCCAGTAAAAATTCCAGATGAAAGTTTTATGTGTGAAACAAAACCACAAACAAACCTTAAGGTACCAGAAACCAAATGTAAGTAAGTGTATATATGTGGGTGTGCACACACATGTACATATACTCAAGATAAAAATTTTGTAGCCACTGAGGGTGTAAAGTAAAAAGTAAACATTCCTTTCTTTACCTGACCCCATGTCCTATTCCCCAAGAAAAGCCAATTGATCAGTTTCTTGTATATCCTCCCAGAGACATTCTGTGTATATTTAAGCACATATAGGTATACTTTTTATTAAAAGACATTTCTGGTCAGATGTGGTGGTTCATACCTATAATCCCAGCACTTTGAGAGGCCGAGGTGGGAGGATTGCTTGAGTACAGGAATTTGAGACAAGCCTGGGCAACGTAGTGAGACCTCATCTCTACAAAAAAAAAAAAATTAACTGGGTTGGTGACACACACCTGTAGTTCCAGCTGCTCATGAGGCTGAGGTGGGAGGGTCGCCTGAGCCAACGGGGTCAAAGCTGTGGTAAGCTGGGATCATGCCACTGTACTCTAGCCTGGGTTACAGAGTGAGACTCCGACTCAAAAAAGAAAAAAAAATATTTCTATTAAATAGAAAATACTATTTTATTTACATTTTCACAAAATATCTTGGTCATCTTTCTTTCCATTTAGTACCTATTGCTCCACCAATGCATTGTTAACAATTGCCTAGTATTCCTTGCATAGATGCGTCATAATTTACTTAACCACTTTCCTAAGATACCTTTCTCCTATGGCAATGTTTTCGAGATCTTCCCGTGTTTCCCCTGTGGATCTGCCTCATTTTCTCTGTTACACAGAATTCTACTCTAATTAAATACTGTCATTTATTAATCCATTGACTGGTTGTTTCCAATTTATTACAGACTGTACAATTTCTAGTGCATGTCCTCTTATGAGAGTTATTCTAAGATAGCAGAGCTTATAGGTTCAAAGGATCATCCTGCCTGTTGTGTCAACAATAGAGAATAGTCAGCAGCAAGAACAGAAGCATGAAAACTGGGAAGCCATTGCAGGTAGTCCAGTTAAGTGACTAAGTGGCTTGTACCAGAGAGTGGTGACAAGGTGGTGGTGACAGGTGTTTGGTTGGAGTCCATTTGAGAAGTAAGATACTGTAGTGTGGTAACCCCAGATCTGAGAGGGTAATGTTTACCTATTCCAAAGAAGTCACTTGAAGGTCCTGCAGGGAAAGACACTGGTTTATTAATATTTACGGGAGGCACCACAGCAGCCAGTCGGTGAAGAATTTGTACCTCAGGGCAGTACAACAGCAGCTTTTAATCAAAGTTAATTATTTCAATTGTTCTACAGTGTTTACAATTACATTGATGAAAAGTGACACTCACGTTGTTTTCAGTTTTGCTTGGTCATCTGCACCCTGTAACTCATCACTGGGAATATGCATATCCTTTAGCTTGTCACCTGTACCCCATGACTCATTCCTGGGAATATGCGTATCCTTTAGAGACTGGCCTTGCTCAGAAGCCACTCCCTGAGGGAGGGGGCAGAGAGAAGCCAGGTAAGGGGAGACAGTCTATGTCCCAACAATACATCATGGGTAACATGATTTGTTGATGCTTAGATGCAGAGTGTGAGTAGAAAAAAGTGTCAAAGAAGATTCCAAAGTTTGGGAGCTCAATGACCAAGAAAATGAAGACACCAATGACCAAGACATGGGACACTGGGGAATGAGCAGCTCTGGAGAGAAGATCAATATCACAGAATCTATTTTGGATAAATGAGGCTTTAGTGCTTGAGTGCCCATCTGTCTTCCCATTGAGATGTCAAGACATTGGAGTTCAGGGAAAAGCTCATGGCTGGAGATACCAATGTGGAAGCCATCAGTGTAAGGATGATGTTTAAATTGATGAGACCTGTGAGACAGGGAAGAGAGAAGAGGTCCAGGAACTATTAGAGAACCCCAACATTTACAGATTAGAAAGAGGGTAGAGATCCAGCGGCAGACGCTGCAGAAGGGTAGCCAGTGAGACACGAGGAGACCAGAGAGTACAGAGTCGTGGTTTCCAGGCAAAGGAGAGATCTCATCTTCTAAATTCTCCTGACAAATAAAGATGTTGTATTGGCTGTAGGAAGTGGCAGAGTGAAGCTCACTGATGTGGGCAAAAGCCTGTGCGGAGTGGTCTCAAGGGAAACTGGGAGTACATACACACCATGGAATACCATGTGGCTGTAAGACACGAAATCATATAATTCACAGCAGCATGGATGCAGTTGGAGCCCATCATGCTAAATGGGTTATCACAGAAACAGAAAACTGAGTACTGCACATTCTCACTCCTAAATGGGAGTTACTGGGCACACATGGGCACAGGAGGGGAACAGCAGACACTGCGGACTCCTAAGGGGGGAGGGAGAGAGAGGAACAAGGGTTGAAAAGCCACCCTCACCATGGGGGGGGAGGGAATGCGGGTGGTAATCAGAAGCCCAGCGTTCAACATCATGCAGTGTCGCAAATCTTCACTGGTACCCCTTGAAAGGTGGTACCTATAGAAACCTAGAAAAAACTTTGCTTATTCTTAGTTTAGTCTTTTTGCCTCAGCATAACTATTAGAAAGCATTCAGATATTCTACTGCAGACAAGCAACAGCCTATCCCATCCCCCCTTAGCAAATCTCCATCAGATGCAAGACCAGGACAGCCCAACCTTCCAATTCATGGTTGAGCATAATAATCTCTAGTAAACTTTTAGGTTCCTTGTCAAGGCCGAAGATCAAAGATCACCCTTTGGCTGACCAAAGTCATAAAAGTGATAATAGACCACCTGTGGTCAAGGAATTTGTGGGTTGCAAATATCTAACAAGTCTCTTGCAGGAAAAACACCTCCAGGCCCAAACTTCCCAAGTTAACCTAATCAGCCCTTTGTGACTTACATGACACAGAAAACTCCACCAGGACACCAATCATGGACTAACCCACCCATCTGCCTATTGTCCATCACCTTATGTCAGTACCTGCACTTGCCCGCCCCTTCGTGATGCTGTGGAGCAGGCCACCACCCAATTACTCTAATGATCTTCCCCCATCAAGGGGAATGGTTAAAAGGACTCAGCCACAAGCAGCCAGCAGCCATTGCCTTGCTAGACTCTGGTGTGGCCATGTGCTCTTTGAGCTATGGCTGTCGCCATGCTTCCTTGAGGAGGTGAATTTTCTCTCTCCCTTCTCTTTCTCTCTAATTTCCTGTTTGTTTTTTTTTGAATTGGAGTCTCACTCTGTTGCCCAGACTGGAGTGCAGTGGCCGCACCCGGCCACTGCAGTCTCAACCGGCTGGGCTCCGGTGATCCTTCCGCCTCCGCCTTCCAAGTAGCTGGAACTACAGGCGCACGCTACCACACCCGGCTAAGTTTTTGATTTATTGTAGAGATGAGGTCTCGCCAAGTTGCCCAGGCAGGTCTCGAACCTGTGAGCTCAGGCAATCCACTCACCTCAGTCTCCCAAAGTGCTGGGATTACAGGCTGAGCCACTGAGCCCAGCCTAATTTCCTTTTTTTTTGAGTTGGAGTCTCACTCCATTGCCCAGACTGTAGTGCAGTGGCACAATCCCAGCCACCGCAGCCTCGACCTACTGGACTCCGGTGATCCTTCTGCCTCAGCCTTCCTAGTAGCCTGAACTACAAGCATATGCTACCACGCCTGGCTAATTTTTTTTTTATTTATTGTAGGGATGAGGTCTCACCAAGTTGCCGGGCGGGTCTCAAACCCGTGGGCTCAGGCAATCCACCCGCCTCGGCCTTCCAAAGCGCTGGGATTACAGGCTAAGCCACCGACCCCGGCCTTTAATTAATTAATTAATTTTTTATTTATTTTTTTGAGTTGGAGTCTCACTCTGTCACCCAGACTGGAGTGCAGTGGCCACTCCTGGCCACTGCAGCCTCGACCTCCTGGGCTCCGGCGATTCTTCCACCTCAGCCTTCCCAGTAGCTGGAATTACAGGCTTGCGCTACCACGCCCGGCTGATTTTTGATTTATTGTAGAGATGAGGTCTCACTGCCCAGGCGGA